CGGTATGCCATGTAATCACAACTCTATGGACAAAATGTTTAAGACTACTTCCGTTTGCCCCCCGTTACTATTATAAAGTATGTTTGGTTTTGTCTGAGGCCGCAGGTAATCTTATGATTACTGGCCGATTGTGACCTTAACTTACCAGGGCAAGTTCGGGTCATGTCAACCCTGTAAGATTTCTAAATGAATCTCTATATTCAATTTTGTTATCGAAATACAAGAATACATTGGTTTATATAACAATCTAACCCCAGAACGAAAAAAGAAATACGACTTATTTCAATATACAAAATATATATACTACCATATATACATAAAATCCCTACTAGATTCTCACACCCCCGCTTAAACTCAAGGTGTTTTAGCAGAAAATATTGAAAGGTTGCCAAGAAGAAACTGAAACCGAATAGTGGTGTGAGTCTTGGTGAAGAAATCAGCAAGTTGCAGAGCCGAAAAGATGAAAGGAAGTAAAATAAAGCCAGACTGCAGATGCTGACAGACAAAGTGACAATCAATCTCAATATACTTCTTCTGCTCATGGAAGACAATGTTATGGGCAATCTAAATAGTACTGTGGTTGTCACAATAGAGAAAGGTCGGAGAAGACTGAGGGACACCCAAATCAAATAGAAGACAACGAAGCCAAACAATCTCAGCAGTAGCATAAGCCATAGCACGATACTCAGCTTCGGTAGTAGAGTGAGCAACAACAGTTTGTTTCTTGCTTTTCCAAGAGATCAAGGAATCGCCAAGAAACATACAAAAACCAGACGTGGACTTGCGATCAGTAACATCACCAACCCAATCAGAATCAGCATAAGCTACCAAATCCAAAGAGGAAGTGGAGGACAATAGTAAACCCTGAAATACAATACCTCGGAGATAGCGAATAATCCGAACCAATGCAGCCCAATGTGTGGAGCAAGGAGTATCAACAAACTGGCTAACTACATGAACAACATAGACAAGATTGGGACGAGTAACCGTCAAATAAACTAAACAACCCACAAGCTCGCGATATAAAGTGGGATCATCCAGGGGACACCATCAGTAGAGTTGAGCTTCACATTAAGCTCAATAGGTATATCAAAAACCTTAGTATCAGTAAGACCAGCATGGTGAATGACCTCATTAGTATACTTAGCTTGAGATAGAAAATAGTTCTTTAGAGAAGAAACAACCTCAATACTAAGAAAATACCGCAATGGACCCAGGTCTTTCATTTTGAAGCTGCAGAAGAGATGCTGCTTGACCTTAGAGATAGCAAAAGAGTTAGAGCTAGTGATGATCGTATCATCCACATAGAGTAAGAGAGCAACACAACCAACCGGTGTACGTCTTAGAAACAAAGCAGAGTCGGAAGAAGGATGAAACCCAAGCTCATTAACAGCAGTCTGAAAGTAATCATACCAAGCACGAGGAGATTGCTTCGAACCATACAGAGCACGCCGAAGACGACAAACCTGTCCAGAGGAATGGTGAAGGCCAAGGGGAGGACGTATGTAAACCTCCTCAACGAGATGACCATTAAGAAAAGCATTCTTAACATCCATTTGATAAAAAGGCTAATGGCAAACAGCTGTGACAGATATGAAAGTACGGACAGTAGTCATCTTGGCAATAAGGGCAAAGGTCTCCTCATAATCAATACCATACTCCTGTGAAAAACCCTTGGCAACCAGACGAGCTTTGTAGGGCTCAAGAGAACCATCAGAATGAGTCTTAACTCTGTAGACCCATTTGCAATCAACCAGATTTTTATCAGCAGGCAAAGGAACCAATTCCCAAGTACTAGTTTTCTATAAAGCAGACAACTCATCCTCCATAGCTTGAACCCAATGAGGATCCTAACAGGCCTCCTTTTAAGACTGAGGTTCTGAAAAAGAGTGAATAGCAGACAAAAAAATACGATAGGAAACAGAAAAACATGTATTAGACCAACCCAACATATTTGGAGGATGACGCACTCGAGTAGGATCAGCAGCAAGGGTAGAGACAACCGGTGAAGGAGGAACCTTGCGACGAGAATAAACTAACAACTAGGAGGAGAAGAAACCAAAGGAGAAGCAGCCAGAGGTGAAGCAGGAGGAGAAGATGGAACAAGCTTAGGGGGAACTGTGGAGATGTACTCATCAGACGGGACCTCAGAAGGAAACGAATCAATATGAACCAAATCCTCTTTGAAAACTGGGGCGGTGAGAGGAGGAAGCTGAAAGTAAGGTAGACGTTCAAGAAAGGCAACATGGCGGGAGACATAAGACGACGGGAAACAAAGTCATAACAGCGATAACCTTTCTGAAGGAGACTATAACCCAAAAAGACACATAAGACAGACTGGGCACTAAGTTTGGTCCTATCTTTACCGCCGGGGAGGGAGGGGGGGTAAAAGAACAAAAGAAGTAGACCCAAACACACGAAGGAGAGAGTAATTGGGAAGTTGAGAAAATAGAGCCCATAAGGAGACCGAGCAGAAAGAAAGGGGGTACGCATACAGTTGAGAAGAAATGCAGCAGTAAGAACTGCCTCACCCCAAAACGAAGCCGGAATGGAAGCAGAGAGAAGGAGAGATCTAGCTGTTTCAAGGAGATGACGGTGTTTACGCTCAGCTCGACCATTTTGGGCAGGTGTACCAGTACAAGAAGTTTGGTGAATGGTACCCAATTTGGCCAAGTATTCACATAATTCATTTTTAAAGTATTCGCCACCCAAGTCAGACCCTAACAATTTAATAGCAGACTCAAACTGTGCAGTGATCATAGACTGGAAAGTATGGTATATCTGGTAGAAGTCAGACTTATGAGTCATAAGATAAACCCAAGTGTAACAAGTGCAGTCATTAACAAATGACACATAATAGGCAGAACCCCCTTTGGTGAGAATAGGATAAGGGTCCCAAACATCAGTATGAAGTAAAGAAAATAGTATATCAGATATAGAAGTACTTTTATGAAAAGATAAGGCTATCATTTTGGCAAGTTTACACCCCAGACATTCAGTAAGTTCACTAGGAGAAACTTTACCCAATATACCAAACTGAGCTACAGACCGTAAGCGATCAACAGACAAATGCCCTAATCTAGAATGCCACAAGTAGAAAGGACTAGACAGAGAATCTAATTGAAAAGAAGAAAGGGCAGTCAGAGAGGTTGTCATAGACAGATGCAAGCTCTCCAGCACATAGAAGTCTCCAACTCTACGACCGGTCCCAATCTGTTACTTAGACATCCGATCCTGCACAGAATAAATAGAAGAAGAAAATATAACATCAAAACCAAAGGCATCAAGCTGACTGATAGATAATAAACTGACATGAGGAACATAAAGGACAAATGCAATAGAGACAGCAGACATAGCAAACGGTGGGACAGACCCAACAGATACAACAGACATACTAGACCCATTAGCAGCATTGACAGTAATAGAAAAGAGGGGAGGAGTACAATTTTGAAGTAAAGAGAGATGGGGAGTCATATGATGAGAGATACCAGAGTCAAAAATCCAGACAGACGAAGAAATACCTGAAGAAGACCTAAGCAAACCGAAATGAAAAAAGGAAACAATAGCGGCAGACGAGGATGGCTGGGAGGTAGACAATATATGCTGAAACTAACTAATCTGAGCAATCAAGGAAGCTAAGTCAGGATCAGGAGCCGAAGCAGATACAGTAGACGTAGCAGGAGGAGCCCGGAATTGATTCTGAGATCGCTGAAAAGATGAGGCAAGCAGACGTCCCTTCTTGAGACAGTGGTACTTCTAATGGCCCCTCTGATGGCAGAAGGCACACTCATCAAAAGCCAGAGACATTGTAATAACCAAAAAGCTCAAGGATTCAAGTGTAATAACCCAAAAATAGAACCAGAGAGATCAAATTTATAATAACCAGAATGTTGACCCAAGGACCCACAAATATTCCCAAGTCAGATGGACAGAACTAGAAGCACCAACCCACAAACATCCCAAGTAGAATCACAAACAGAGAGAGAAAGACTGAATGCGAGAGATTGAATCACAAACTGAGGCAGAGAGATTGTCCTTGCGAACTGAAGTGAGAGAACCGAGAACCAGATGAACCGAGAGAGTTCGCGTCTGCGAGATCGAATCCCAGAAGTTGATCAAGAAGTCGAACACGAGACCAGAGAGCCACGGACAGCTCGCGACCCGACAACCAAACTAAAAGCCACGAATGGCGACGAATCCCGATTACGGAAAGATAAATGGCCACGAACTAGTGGCTGGAACGAAAGGGTTGGTTCGAACTCAGATGGGTTGCTCGATCTCAGATAAGGACTAGAGCCAGCGAACAAGATCAAGCCAAGATCAAAACTAGAGATGATTTCGAACCAGAGGGTGAAAGTTTCGAACAATCAGAGGTGAGAACTAGGGTTTCGGACACAACTCTGATACCATGTAAGATTTCTGAATGAATCTCTATATTTAATTGTGTTATCGCAATACAAGAATACATTGGTTTACATAACAATCTAACCCTAGAACGAAAATGGAAATACGACTTATTTCAATATACAAAACATATATAATACCATATATACATAAAATCCCTAATAGATTCTCACAAACCCATGTACCTTATTAAGAGGTCATGGGTTTGACTCCTTTACTCCCTTTCCAATGTACCAATAAAAGAAACATCTTCTGCAAATACAAGCCAGTTTACGACTCCAAATGGATGAACGATTCCAAATACCTCATAACAATTAAAAATATAAAGTAATTGCGAGGACACGTCATCTGCATCGTCAAAGTTAGTAAAGTATAAATTCAAGCCACATAACATAACCCATTTAACACAGTCAACCCAACTAAATGAGATTACCAGGTAAATGTCAACGAACACAAATGACATATGCAGCATTAACTTGCTTTTTCTTGTAAATCAAGCATTACAGTCAGAGAGTTAGCATATTTATAACAACTTTACCCAACTTAAAATCAATTTAAGTAATCACAAACTAGATAAAGACGTTTAACAACCTTACCTTTTTAATTGTCTGTTATCGTATGTTGAATAGACAACATCATAGTGTCCATTCACGGAATCAACTAACTCCAAGTAACCAGTCAACATATCCCACCTGCAAAGATAATTATTAGACAGATTGAAGTATTACAGTCTTGCACCTAGAAAATATCTGTGCAGCTTACTCGCATCTTTGATGTCGGTCAACATTCAGAACCACCTCAAAAACAGTATCTGCACTTGCATCAACAACACCAACGGCCTTCACAAGAACAGTTTTACCACTCTACAAAAAAAATAAAAAAATAAAAAAAAAAAAGTAAATTTTAACTAGAACCTAATATTTTAAGCCAAATTGTTTACATTTCTCTCCTATCTCAAAATAAAACAAATATTAGGAAGTGTAATTCATTAAAAGCATCAGAAGAAAAGAAAGCTCTGTGACAAGAATAAGAGCAAACACTTTACAAGCAATAAATTTGACACATTGGCATACCTTTGAAGGCACAATTGGGAATTCGAAAGCTTAAACTTCTGTTGCATAATTTTCATTTTAGCTGTAGAGAATTTTTTTGTGAATCTTGTATATTTAATATGAGACATCAATTTTGCGTTAAGCCTCTTTGATCATATATAATTCTAGTACAACAGCTTTTGGCATTTTTCAATACAATAATTTACAATAAAAAAAAAATTCTAAATTCTTGTATCTGTAGGGGAAAAAAAAAAAAAAAAGAGATAATATTTATATTAAAAAGGTACCTATAATAACAGAGTAGGATAATAAATGACTTAACTATGTTCATTTTCATTTCACCTCTCTATCTCTTCTCCTCTCCTTCCTACTTAGATTTCTTATAAATTTAAGATTTTTCTTTATTCTCAAAATATTCTTTTAACACGCATAAAAAAATAAAAAATGTAAATAGAAATACGCCTTTTCTTGAAAAGATCATTGATGATTCAATTGTTCCAATCTTGGTACCTCTCAAGCTCATTTGGAATGCATATATGCCCCTCAAGATTAAAGTGATTGCATGGACTTTGGCTCATTACCATACTACTATGTCATTATGGATGAGATGAGGGTGTTTCAACTAGCGGAGTTGGATTGGGTTGCACCTTCTTTTAATGTTCATATATGTTTTGCATTGATTAAGAGCTCTTTGGGATTGTGTATGTGCCATTGTTTGGGTTATTTGGTTAAAGGAATGCAAGAGTTTTTTACCATAAATAAGAAGACTTAAGGGTATATTTGATAAAATTTGTTATTTGGCTTCTTTTTGGGCTTTAGCATTCCTACATTCAAGAAAATTCCTTTATTTTTAATTTCTAGGGCCTGGAGAGCCATATCTAGTAAATGTTTCTTGAATTTCTTTCATTTTTTTAATGGACATCCCGCCCTTTGTACCTCTTTTGTATTTCTCCTCTTTTTATTAATAAATTTCTACTTATTGCTAATAAAAATAAAAACATGTTAGATACTCTTAACAGGTGTCGAAATTGATAACTTACGTAAAATAAACCTTGTATTACTAGAATAATAACAAAATAATTACAAAAGACAATAAGTAACTGTTAGATAAACCCTAATCAAATAACAGAGTCTAAACTACTCTTAAGATAATAATAAAATACATGAATACTTAACATAAACAACTCATTGTTACAAAACGTTTTTTAGTGTCTCAGAGAGAAAAGAAGGGATTTACATATGATTTTTATAGATCTAGAAAAAGCTTGTGATAGAGTGCCTAGAGATATAACAAGATGGTTGTTGGAGAAAAAAGGTGTGTAACCAAATGGTATATTGATGCGCTAAAAAACATGTATAATGGAACTGTGACTACAATTAGATCGCCTGCAAAAGAAATTAGTGAATTCCCAATCATTGTATGGTTGCATCAAGTGTCAGCTTTAAGCCCTTCCTATATGCTTTAAGGGGTTGTTTGGAAAGTGCTAGACTAGTATACTTTTTGACTTTTTACGAAAAAACATAAAATATGGATCCGGTTTGAAGTGATGTGGTAGAGAGGTTATGTGACCCAAATAAGATGATTGTGGTCCAAATAGGATAGCACATGCCAAACAAGCACTTAGTCATGGATGAATTAACTATACATATTTAGGATGACATCCCATGGTATATGTTGTTAACTAATGATATCATTTTAAGTAGATGAAACTAAGGAAAGAATTAACATTAAATTAGAAATTTGAAGATGAGAACTTGAGTCAAAAGGGTTTAAAATTAGTAAAAATTAAATTGAATGAAATAGATGTAACTTTAGCAACAATGAGGTGGAAATAATGGAGAATTGAAGATTGAAAAACATGAGATAACAAATAGTGAACATTCACTACTTATGATCAATTGTTAATAAGGATAGTAGTTTGGCCACGTTAAGTCACCAATTGCCGCAAAAGTTTAAGCTGTTAGGGAATAGGCCCAACAATCTATGTCAAGCTATCCAACAAAGATACTTGAACCCAAGACATTTCTCAACTTGAGCTTTGATACCATTTTAAGTCACCAATTGCCCCAAAAGCTCAAGCTGTTAGTAAATGGACCCAACGATGTATATCAAAATATCTAATAGGCCCAAGTGGAGGATTGTGTCTAGCATATTATGTGATCAACGAATACTAACAAAATTAAAAGAATTTTTTTATAAAACAGCTATAAGGCCAACAATGCTTTACGGCATGGGATAGGAACAAACTAAGAAACAACATGTACATAAAATTAGTGCAGTTAAGATGAAAATGCTTGGATGGATGCGTGTAATACTTGAAAAGATATAATTAGAAATTAATATTGTTAGCATATTATATTAGTCGAAAGTGTTAGCATATTATATTAGCCGAAAGTGTTAGCATATTATATTAGCCAAAAGTTACACTAGGGTCTGTAACCATTTTATGCCCTTAGGGATCATCTTGTAATTGTATTTCTTGTAAACCCTAATCTTCATTTATAAATAGGGGGTGATATTCTATCATACCCTAAGCTGGTTACTCAAGCTTCATAGTATCAGAGCTTAAGCTCTAGGGTTCGATCTTACCTAGGTTGGTCCTCTGCTGGGTCGTTCTCCAGTTCGTAAGCAGTCGTCGCTCAGTTCCTCAATCCCTCAGTCCCTCAGTTCATCAGTCGCCAGCAGCCTTCGTCTTCATCAGTCTTCGTCTTCGTCTTCATCAGTCTTGGTCCTCTGCTGGGTCGTTCTCCAGTTCGTAAGCAGTCGTCGCTCAGTTCCTCAATCCCTTAGTCCCTTAGTTCATCAGTCGCCAGCAGCCTTCGTCTTCATCAGTCTTCGTCTTCGGCTTCATCGGCTTCGGCTTAGTCGTCTTCGTCTTCATCAGTCGCTCGTCTCTGTGTATGTATGATATACCCTCTGTTTTGTATACCACCGTCCTAATACATGTATAACTATATGTATATATATATATATATATATATGTAAATCAGTAAACATTTCTATATATATATAAATCAATCAGTAAATATATATATATATAAACAAAAAATATATATATATATATATATAAATAAATAAATAAATAAATTAAAAAAACAAAAAACAAAACAAAACAAAAAAAAATAAAATAAAATTAAAAAAAAAAAATATGATTTCTTAAATTTGTTATGCTCTTATAAGTAGTCATTGTGCCTGTTCTTTCACCACCACCTTCCGGGTTTGTGATTGCCAGTAGTTTTGTTGCGGGTTTGGTAGTATTGTATCCATGACAGATTCCACCAGTGTGTCCCCTTCTTCTCAAACACCAAAAAGTGAGAGTCTCATTCTACCTACTGCCATGATTGAGAATCCCAACCCTAGTCTGAAAATCACCACCTCTCTATTTAATGGTCAGAACTACCTAGCATGGTCCCAAAGTTTGACTATGTTTTTGAAGAGCAGAGGGAAGATGGGATATGTTGATGGCAGGATACAGGCCCCTAGTACCACTGACTCAAGTTATGAACAATGGGAGATTACCAACTCTTTAATTATGAGTTGGCTTATCCATTCGATGGTTCCAGAACTTGGTGAGGGCTACTTGTCTATGGAGACTGCCCAGGACGTTTGGGAGGCTGTGGCTATTACCTTTCCTGCCAAAGGGAATTTTTCACAGGCATTTGAGTTGCGCCGCTCTATTGAGAGCTCACTTCAGGGAGAGCAGACTGTTCTTCAGTACTTCACTTTCCTCACCAACGGCTGGAAACGCCTTGACCACCTGGAAGACTATAAGCCCGTTTGCCCTACTGATTCTGTCGGATACAAGAAGTTCATCGCACGGGAAGGGTCTTTAAATTTTTGGCCGGCCTAAATGTGGAGTATGATCCAGTTAGGGGTCGAGTTCTGAGTATGGACACTCTTCCTTCACTTCAGGAGGCATTTGCCTATGTACAGAATGAGGAGAGTCGCCGGTCTGCTATGATGTCCCCTGTCTCTACTGACCGTTCCGCATTACTGTCTACTCGAGATGGCCTCAGCCTGCCTCCTCGTCTGCTCTAAGGAGTCTGTATTCGTGATTATTGCAAGAAGCCCGGCATACTCGTGAGATGTGTTGAAGCTTCATGGGACTCCATCCGGGGGTCAAGGTGATCGGTCTGGTCTCGAAGAGGTCGGTCAGGCCAATCTAGAGGACTGGTTCCTATTCCGCGGCTCATCAGTCTAGTGTCGTTGATACCCTTGATTCTAATTCTACTTCTGTTACCCAAGCTTCTGATACGAGCTGGAGGATGCTTTGCGCCAATTGTTGGACGCGCGATCTTCTACTGCTCTCAATACCGCTTCCTCATCCTTTGCCCGCTCGTAACTTAGCATCTTCTCCTTGTGCTTTCCTGTGTCATAAACTTTGCCTTGGATTATTGATTCTGGTGCCTCAGATCATATGTTGGCTCCTCTGATCTTTTCTCTGTCTATAAGCCCTCCTCAGGTCAGGACAAAGTTAGGATTGCCGATGGTACTGTTTCTTCCATTTCTGGAAAAGGTTTAGTCCAAGTCACTCCTACCATACATCTATCTTCTGTTCTCCATGTTCCCAAGTTTTCTGTTAATCTGTTATCCTTAAGTCGTCTTACCCAGGATTTAAATTGTAGTGTGACGTTTTTTCCTGATCATTGTCTTTTTCAGACCTTGTCACGGGGAGGACGATTGGCAGTGGTAGTCAGAAAATGGTCTCTACTTCCTAGATCAATCGACACACTTGCTTATTCTTCACCACGTCTTCTACTACTACCCCGCGTGATTTATGCTGTGGCATCGGCGTCTTGGGCATCCCTCA